CCCAGCGAGAGCCAGCACGAAGCCCCAGCGGAGCCCGTGGAGCAGCCTGCCTTGCGTGTGCAGCCTGGAAGGATGGTTTGGACTTGGCTCGACTCTTAGGTGGGGACAGTGTAGCGCCCACATTCACCTCCCAGTGAAGATGGCCATCCAGTCTCCACTCAAGATATTCAGAATCTACAAGCTTCTAAACAGGCAACATATGTTGAATCAACTCATCTCATCTGTAAAATGACCTGTGTTCTCATGTACAGCTTTCCTGCAATCATATCATAGAAGAAGAATTCTGAAGCCTAGATATGAGGAAACCATGTTGTGGATATATATTTTGTATCAGAGTATCTAATTCACATATTTTCTATCTCTCAAATTTAGGAATTACATAAACTGTATCTCTTTAAAAGTGGGGTAAGTTATTGCATATTGTGTCTTTCAGACCTACCTGACGATCTCCGTTGTGTTTGGGTCCTCAGTTTGGAAAGTATTTAAATGAATGAGAAATGTAGTATCCCCCTTACCCTGGGACAATCAAGAAAGTTTTTTTTTCCCCAATCCAGGTCCCAGAGAAACAGCGTGTGTGGGTTTTCATTCCAAATAATCTCTTAACAAAGAGCTGTCCTATTCTGTTTGTCTCTTTATGTAAAATCATACTATACTTTGTGAGTATGACTGCCTAAAAAGTCTACACCTCTGGACCCATAAGAAGCATTTTCACTTGAAAGCTAATTCATTGTGCATATCCATGGTGAACTCAACATCTAGAAACAAGTCTAATTTACCTGTGTAATTTTTTTAATTTAGATTGAATTTATTGTTAGTTCCAAAATATTTTTAATAATGAGAATATTTTTTTAAGTAAGAGCTGTATTTGATCACTTTTTCTTTTATGGTTTTGAAAGACAAAAAAGAGCAAATTAATGCAGAATTAGTGAGTGCTCCACACTGACAATTGCAGCAGAAGATTGAAAAAAAAAACCCTGTCAATATATTTATGATTTTTGATCATAGTGATTTGTAACTTTACATTCCTCATTTTGCAGCTGGATTAACAACTACTCACTTGTCATGAACATGAAAACTGTGGCCAAAGAAGGCATCTATGTTACTGAACATATTGATATTGGGATAAAGGGATAACAGAGTGTCTTGACTAATTGAGTTAGATTAACTTCAGTTGATTTTCTTCAGTATTTCACAGAGCCTCTAAAATGTGGAAGTGGTGCTTAGTAATTCTCACTGCTCTCTGGAAGCAGGGTGTAACAAAAATAAAACCAGCCTAAAACCAGATATTCAACTTAGGCAGGGGTTTCCAATCCTGGTCCTTGAGGCCCGCAGATCTGCCGGTTTTTAGTCCACCCAAGCTGTCAGTTACACAAGTGAACCCTTAATTGACATAGAAACAATTAATTTTTGAGGTCACCCTTTAACTACTGCATGTTTGAGGTAAAAAAAAACAACAACAACTTGCAAATGTTCCAATTAAGCAGCTTGTTAGATCTGCTTTTCAAGGGTTCAAATAAGTAAGTTCTGCTGGAATAAAAGAATCATTAGGAGTGTAGTACTCCAGGACAAGGTCTGAGAACTTCTGAGATCAAAAAGGGAAAATGGGAAACAGAAATATACATAATTAACTCACAAGAAAGGCGGCACAGTGACATAGTGATGAACCTTGCTGCCTCACAGCTTTGGGGCCTTGATTTCAATTCCGAACCTGGGTGCTCTCTTTGTAGAGTTTGTATGTTCTCCCTGTGTTCACGTGGGTTTCCTCTGGGTGCTTTGGTTTCCTCCCACAGTCCAAAAAAAAAAATTTTGGTAAATGAATTGGCTTCTGGGCAAATTGACCCTGGTGTGGATGTGTATATCTCTGTTTATGTCTCCGTGTGCTCTGTGATGGACTGGTGTCCTGTCCAGGGTGTACCCTGAGTTGCGCCTGTTGCTTGCTGAGATAGACTCCGGCCCCCCTGAGTTCATGAAATGGAAGAAAATGGATTGATGAATGAATGAAAATCCTGTAGCATTGGAAGACAAGGATTAGCCAAGATCACAGACAAGCAACATCTTAGAATCCAGGTGCCAAGATAGAACAGTCCTGCATAATGAACACATAAAAACAGATATAAAAAGGAAAAGCTATGCATTTAACATTTAATATATTCTTCATTTTTATCATGTATAATTTACTGTTGCAGATGCACTTGTAATTTTCATTTAGTTTAGTGTATATGTAAATGAAATGTTTATTTATCAAGTGAGTCTCAGAAACACACAAGCAAAAATAAGAGGAAGAGTAATAAAATGTACTTGGGTATTCTGAATTTGGAACCAAGGAATAACAGAAAATTGTCCGGTCCTTGAATGCTAAGAATATCAAATAGTTATGATATAAGATAACAATTCATTAATATTAAAACTAATTTTTAAACAAAAGCAATTCTACGTTGATAACATCAGTTTCCAAAGTGATAGATTCAATGCTACCATCTACAATGTGTGCTGGGTAGAATGGAGAGATGTGAATAAACAAGTAGAGATTATTTCCCTCCTGAAATGTTTTGGCTGTGGAGACTTCTTCACAAGGACAGAACAGAGACTTATTAAACTACAGCAGTTGCCATTTTCTTTCCTTCATAGGTTCCTCTACAATCCCTTCTGTGAAGTGATTCTTCTTTCAAGTGAGGCTAATACTCCTCCATCATCACTCTAAAACTTCATTCCCTAGGCACACATTATGCCAAGTATGCCATAGGTCCAGTATGCCAATAGTACAGTACTGTCTGACTATCCACATTGCTGCTATTAGAGACCACAGACACTGTCAATAGAAAAAAAGGACATCACTCAAAGTCACTGCTATTTTTAGGAAGTGATCTCACCTCCATGGAGATTTAAGTTTCTGTCTAACTCTTGTTCCTAGAAACTGTTGTCACATTGTTCGTTGTTGTGATGCAGATTTTAAATTGTTCCTGAGAAGATTAATTTGTAAAGGTCAGCTTTAGGCAGATGTCACCTCTTCTTCTATGGGATCTGAAAGGACTGTTGCAGGGATTGGGGTGGTAAGAATGGGCGTATTTGTTTTCATTACGTTGAGTCTGGCCTTGGTGTTTGGTCACAGCATTTCAAGTGGAATGTTATAGTCTTATCCTGAAGGGATGTCATCCCATGTTTCAATAAATAAAACTTATATCATACAACTCAGAAGGCACCAATGGAAACTACATAGACTTGTATATAAAACCAAGAGCAGGAGGCACTTTGTGACACCAACAACACACATCACAATAATAACATTACTGCCACCATGACACCTTAGTTTATACATGTTTTAAGTGCTTTGTCTTTCCTCTTTCACACCCCCGGCAGGATATAGTGTTTCTCTTTAAGGGAAAACTGCTCTGTTATTTTCCTTCTTGATTGCTTTTCATTTAGTTCTATTCAAGTCACTAGATCTTCAAGTCCACTAGAACAACCAATAACTCTTCTCATCACTAACTGTAACAGCTGATCCCATTTGGGATACTTTTCTTTAACCATCACTTGCACCCCTGACATAGCATCCAGCTTCTCACACTTCTCAATCTGTCTGCTGATGCACAGACTTTATTCAGGACACAATCTGTGCAATCCAGACTTCCTCTCAGATGCAGCCTTTCCAAGAGACACAGCAGCGGTCTTACAGGTATCAATACTTCCAGTCAGCCCTGGTTAAGCTGGCCAGCCATGTTCCTCAGCAGCAAACATCAACCCTACTGTGCTTGGCAAACTACCACATCTAACAAACACAGGACAGTGTTCTTCCCTCACTTTTGAGATTTTTGGAATAACATTACACTGCCTCCCTTACTTTTTTTATTCCTTTGGTTTGTTAATCCCTTTCTTAGTTTTCATGTAGCCTATCTGTCCAGCACCTGTAACACTCCTCAGTACAATTTCAAACATCACCAATTAAGCGACATTAAGGCAACCCAATCAGATATGAAAGAGAACTCTCTCTGAATGCTAATTACTCTATCAGACCAGGTGTGCCTCATTCCATAATTTCCCTCCCCAATTAAAAGATGGCTGTCTCACAAAGTCACCTGTCACTACCTCACACAATTCTTTGCCAAAAGGATTCTGAGTATGGAACTACCAAGCCATCTTATTGAAACTGATACAATTTATTTCAGAGGTTCTTAACCTGTGGTGCACAGACCTAATGGGGGTGAGCAACATACCAGATTTTTTAGTAGGTAAATCATCACAAGCACAAATTAAGTACAACTAACTTTGTCTAATCAAACCTACTGTAGGTATTTAAAGGTACTATAAACTTAAAATTATCCTTGAAGACATGCTGTTTTCAGGCCTGTAGATCTTCCCAATTCACTTTATAAACAACTACAGTATGTATAACTTTTTCTAAAAAAGTTTTTGTTTTTTATTTCAGCTCTTAATCAATTGGACAGGTAAGAGATTACCATTAACCTGGTACGATACTCATTTCCTATTAACATTTAAATAACCTTGTAAGTCAACTTGAAGTCCAGTCCATGCAAAAATCAAAGTATAAGATGAGACAAGCTCATTCAGACCATGTTGCTGTTTTGGTTGTCAGAGTAAAGAAAATTCTCATTAAACTGATATTGAAAAGATTGACACTAACTATATAATTATTACAATCCCATGGCACTCTTCGTATGAAAAGGGGATGTTAACTCTGGCAATTCTGCTCTGGAATACGATTTTTTTATGAAAGCAAGAATTCAATTAAATGCAGGCATTGTTGTTTATGTAACATCATCAGTGGACACGCATTATATAAAAATGTATATTAAATGCAAGCAATATTTGTTTTTTACGTGTGGCTTTCGCTCAAAAAGAAGTCACAGAACTATGTTTACGAGGGATGTGTTGAGAACTAGCTGATCAAATGGGGGCGTGGTCTTGAAAGGTTTGTCCGTCCGTGGCGTTGTAGAGGAGGGCGTTGCTGCCTACGCAACGACACTCTGACGTATGACGGGGGTGTGTGCTGGAAGGCAGTATGAGGAAGCATCTTGATGGCGGGGGAGAGTTCTGGAAGTTTCTGCTGTGTTATAAATACTGAAAGCAGGCAGAACCAGCGTTCTGCAGCTTGAGAGAAAGTCGTAGAGAGCTGGTTGCGCTTTATTTTGTTAAGGGTATTGCGTCGTTGGTGTACGTAATACAGGTGTCTGTATATATGACATTGAGATTGCGACTTTTTGTTTATCCTGCGTGGATCTGTAAAAGGAACTACAGTAGGAAACCTTTAGCTGATTCGCGTGACTGCTGTTTGTTCACTGTGACGACGTCGTGACCTTTTGCTTAAAGAGCAACTTGTGTGATTTTCCTCTTGTCGTCTTGTGAGTGTAATTGATCACCGGGGCTGTAATGGGTAAAGATTATTATAAGGTGCTGGGAATCCAGAAGGGAGCCTCGGAGGACGAGATCAAGAAGGCATACCGCAAGCAGGCATTGCGCTACCACCCGGACAAGAACAAGTCTTCGGATGCCGAGGAGAAATTCAAAGAGATCGCGGAGGCCTATGACGTTTTGAGCGACCCCAAGAAAAAAGACATCTACGACAAATTCGGGGAGGACGGTAAGATAACACTTAATTAAAAATAAACTCCACAACAGCAGCATTTCGGCAAGTTTAGGACTAGCAGTGAGATTCCGGGTGTCCCGTTACCTCCATGGAGGACCTCCCACTTCTGAAAACGTTTGACTCCTTGTGATGCCCAGAAAAGCGTTTCTATTAAGATGCCATGGGGAGAGAGCTGTTCCTTAAAGCTCAGTCGCATCAAGCGGATTTGCTGGGTGAATTGCGTTGCATTTTGCAGTCGGTGTTTAGATTTAAAGTCCTTGTGCGTGTGTTGAAAGTGTGCCCGACTCTCCCAGCCTACCGGCATGTTCTGGCAACTTCTGGGTGTGTGTGGCAGCTGATAGAGCCCAAAACCGAAACTAAAGACGTATGATCGACCAGTGCGCTTTCGAAAGTGCTAAGGTGCAGTTTCAGTTAGTGATGGTACTGTTTAACCTTTCTCGTAGTATCATACAGCTGACACGGGCAATCCAATACTGACCGATTGACCCCTGCAGGTAATCGGGTTCGATCTTAACTAGGTGCCGCGCTGGACAGGATACCGCTGTGGACTGTGGAGGCCTGGGGCTACAACGCGCAATCTATTACATTTTGTTGCTTTAAAATATCGATCCCCCTTTTCATATGCCTGTTAAAGGTGGGAAGGCACCACATTTTCTCCGTCTTATGCCCCCTTATTGTCAGACTTTAAACTTGCTGTAGAGTAAGAAATGCAAGTTTTGCTCGGAATCTGGAAAAATGACTGCTTGTTGAGTGTTGGTGAGAAAGGCCCCTTCAAAGTGTGAAGTTGTATTATTTATTTTTTTAAGAAATGCAAACATTCTTGAGCACTGCCGTGTTTCTCTGATGCTTTTCAGTGTAGGGTAGAATATTAAAATGTTGCCTACGTCGTGAGATGTTTTGTGGATCGAGTTTTGCACAACAGCCGATTGGAATCATTAATCGTGAGTCTTGTAATGTTTGTACATTAACCCTTATCTGCCTTAATAATGGCGTTTAAATATGAAAGCATAAAATACAGATTCGTTTAGCATTAACCCGTGTTGGAGGGATCAGAAACCATAACTTCTCGTTAAGGATGATCAGTTAGGGAAGAGAGAACTTAACCTTGTCTCGCTTTGACCAGTCTCGTTTACTTATTTCCGAAACAAGAATTTAAGTCCTAGTCAAAAAATGTTTTAGCCGCTTGAGTAGATATAGAGGTGAGGGTTCCATAGAAAAACAGTTTTCTTTTGTAAGTCAGCTATTCGTGTTATAGACTGATTTGTGGTTGTACTGTAGTTTTGCCATAGTCAGCGGGTAAATGTTAAGTTACGTAAATTTATTAATGTCATTGAATATCTAATACTTTACTTTCGCTGTGTTCTGGCGACCCGGGTGCGCTCAGCCGCTGATTGGCTCAGTACATGCCTCGCGTGCCTTCTGGAAGTTTCTCGCCTGGTCCTGTCTGGGGCTGTTAGAGGCTTACTCTGAGCTTCTGTCGGGATTATACAAGGGCAGGTTTGCAGCAGGGCTTCAGGTGCGCTTTGAACTAAACAACCGTCGCTGGATTTGAGGGCAGAAAGAACTTTTCTTTTAATTGGTGTCCCTGTTCTTGTAGAGTTATCTGATTATTTTACTTATAATTGTTTAACCCTAAACGACACTTTGAGAGGCCACATTTCTGTTGTGATGTTTCAATTTTAAGTGATATGGGCATTAAAGAACAGATAAGAAAGCAGTATTTACAGAATGCCTTCTCAGAGTACCTTGAGTACCATGTACCCTTCATGTACATAAGGTCAAGATGTGCTAAAATAGTCCGAAATAGGCAGAAATCAAGTAATGATTTGTTATACCAGAAACAATTTTCAACAATTTCACTGTTCTTCATACCTCATAATCCTGTGTGAAATAAAATATCCATCTTTTGAATGTCTTTGGTTCTTTAATCAGAAATTCAGTTGCTGCTCAATGGTGCAGCTCTCTTCAGGACAGTGCAGAAAGGCTTGATTTTTCTGACCTGTGCGTAATGTTTTGTGCCTTTTCCCCCCACTCAGGTCTGAAGGGGAACGCTGGAGGTGGCGGACCAAATGGCACAAATTTTAACTACACATTCCATGGGGACCCCCATGCCATGTTCGCAGAGTTCTTTGGGGGTCACAGCCCTTTTGATTCCTTCTTCAGTCGCAACGGGGGTGATGAGGATATGGACATCGATGACCCCTTTGCGGGATTTGGCATGGGGGGGTTCTCCAGGGGCTTCACACGCATGGGGATGGGGGGACGTGGGTCCCGGGATGGCATCGTGAAAAAGCAGGACCCCCCTGTAGTGCATGACCTGAAGGTGACCCTGGAAGAGGTCCTCACAGGCTGCACCAAGAAGATGAAGATCTCCCACAAGAGGCTGAACCCTGATGGACGTACCACCCACACAGAGGACAAGATCCTCACTGTGGAGATCAAGCGTGGCTGGAAAGAAGGCACCAAGATCACCTTCCCCAAGGAGGGTGACGAAACGCCTACCAACATCCCGGCAGACATTGTCTTTGTGGTGAAGGACAAGCCCCACCCAGTGTTCAAGAGAGAGGGGTCTGACATCATCTACCCAGCCAAAGTCACACTCAGGGAGGTATGTGAAAGACAGTGGTGCTAAAGTTGGACAGAATGCTTAATAAAGAAACTTAAGGGCTGTCGAATGGTTTGACTTTTCCTAGCTCAGTCTAACCGGATTTACCAATTTTTGCATACTTGTTAAATCCAAATTACTTGCTTACCAACATATAGATTGCATAACATTTGGAGGCTTAGAGCATGTTTTCTTCATCCTTGTGTGGTCTTTTTCAACTGGTACATTGCTCATTTGTCTTATCTTGCATTAAACTTTTTTTGTACATTTTCATTTATGAGGTATAAGAGTAGCTTATTTATATCACTCTATCCATTGTAGTACTTAACTTGCTTGTGACATTCATATTGCCTGGTATTGTGATTTTGTTTTTTGGAAGTCATCTTAAAAAGAGTTCTCTGAATGCTAGTGGTAATTCTTAGGCTTATTAATTTAACTAGAACAAGTAGAAAAGCACTCGAGGAACTTGAGGCATTGGTTTCTAAATGAAACTTATAGGTTGTAGGTTGTTTTTGTATGACATGACCTTTACCAATCATCTTATTCCTCCCATGCCCAGGCTCTCTGTGGATGCACTGTGAATGCCCCCACATTGGATGGCAGGACCATTCCTGTTACCTTCAGAGACATTATCAAGCCCGGAATGCAGCAGCGCATCACAGGGGAAGGCCTGCCATTACCCAAGTGCCCAGAAAAGCGTGGAGATCTGATCCTGCAGTTCGAGGTGAAATTCCCGGATCGGATTCCACTGCACACCAGGGACGCTTTAAGTCAGGTGCTTCCTCCATGAGAGCTTGTCCCAGGGAGCTGTGTTGCCAGAGGTGCTGTTGGAAAGTGCTGCTTGAAACGCTGACCGGCGACAGCCAAGTCTGCACTTTGTTATTCAGGAAAAAAAAACAAAACAAGATGTGTAGTTTTGTATATCTGTTCAAATTTCGTTTTCTCATTAATGTTGCCTCATCATCTACCACTTCAAGCACTGCCATCACTGAAATCTGTGCAATGCTAAAAGAAACTACAGGACTTCATCTTACCTCCTGGAGAGAGGCAGTGATTACTGTGAGATGGGAGAGGTTTAATTGTAAGGGCTTCGCTGTATTAGCTTCTGAAAGTTGAAGGTGATGGAGCCTTTTTGGGTCTGTTTTACCTGAGCAAAATGACTATTAATATGACTTCCTTTTACATGAAGTAGTTTACTACAAAGGTTTCTATCATACATTAACAAAGTGGCTCTTGTTTTCTCATAGATTAACTGATTCATCTTCCATGCCACTCAATAGTGAAGATTGAAAATTAATTAATTGATGGGGTGGGTAGGTATTAGAGCATCTAAAACTCAAAGTGCTCTCTTGGGCTTTGAATTACAATTTGTAATACACTCTGTGCAGAAATAGTTAATAAAGTGTCCTTTTGCTAGAAGAGTACAAGAATCATTCAGTAGACTGAATGTCCTTGTCATGGGCTCGAAGCAATGTTCCATTGCCTGAATCGGTACTTCAGAGCTAAGAGCAGCATGTTTCCTGTCTGTGATAACATTTACTAAATAAATGAGTTAAACCTTTGCGAGATGTCTGCAGATGTACTTTACAACAATAAGAGCAAATTGGATTTTGTGGCCCATTTGTTTTTATTATTGTTGTGTGAAGGCAGATGAAATATGATGCTTCTCTTCTATAGATGTAATATGCCTGGTTATACAGTAGCTTTAAAAAATTAAAGTAATCACCTGACAAAATAGAAATACATTTTATGATCATTCTAGGGGTATAGGATAAATACAGTACGGTGAGGGTAGATTTCAACAGTTTTGATTTTCTCTTTCAGTGTGGTAAAACCAGGACTGAAGGTAAATATTCACTGTTTATTCCAGCTTGCATAAGCTGTACATAAGCACCATATGTATTTTTATTTGTATGTTCTATTTAGTTACACTTAGCACTGGTTTAAATGTTTCAGGTTACCAACAGTTGTACTAAGAGTACACTAAAGTACTCCAAATATGCTTAAAACCATTCTGGTCAATATGCTTGCTGTATGTTTTAGTGAGAATCTTTAGGTTTTTTTTCTGGATTAGGAAAAAAAATCAAAATGCACTTCTGGGTTCTTGCTCTGTTTAAGAACCTGGTTACAGAAAATAAATTCTGGAGAAGACTTGCAGTGTAAGTATAAACAGGGCATAAGATGTGTGAATGTTTAAAGGTTTGAGAGTAGTTCTCTGACCATATGCTCGAACAAGGAGAGAAAGGTTGCTAAAGTCAAAACTGCAAGCAGCCATATCACCCTGCAATTCACAACTGGTAACCCACTGAAGTTAAGCAGGTGTGAGCCTGGTCAGTACCTGGATGAGAGACCTCCTGGGAAAAACTAAGGTTGCTGCTGGAAGAGGTGTTAGTGGGGCCAGCAGGGGGCGCTCACCCTGCGGCTCATGTGGGTCCTAATGCCCCAGTATAGTGACATCCTTCGGATGACGCGTAAAACCGAGGTCCTGACTCTCTGTGGTCATTAAAAATCCCAGGGCATTTCTCGAAAAGAGTAGGGGTGTAACCCCGGCGTCCTGGCCAAACTTCCCATTGGCCCTTACCAATCATGGCCTCCTAATAATCCCCATTTATGAATTGGCTTCATTACTCTGCTCTCCTCCCCACTGATAGCTGATGTGTGGTGAGCGTTCTGGTGCACTATGGCTGCTGTTGCATCATCCAGGTGGTGGAGGGGAGTCCCCATTACCTGTAAAGCGCTTTGAGTGGAGTGTCCAGAAAAGCGCTATATAAGTGTAAGCAATTATTATTATTATTATTATTATTATTATTATTATTATTAAAAACTGTTTTAGTTTCTGATTGAAACTCAACTAAAACCTTTTCTTATGATGATTTCATTATGTTCTCTTGTGGAATGCAAATTTTAAGTTGGAGGTGTTCTATTCCAGCTGTGAAGTGCCTCAAGATCTTGTTTCTTATTCCAGGTTAAGCTCTCTGTAGATTCCTGTGATCACTAGATTCCATGCTGGATGTTTGTACAGTCTAAGGAAAGCACTTGATAAGAGGTACTAGATCTGTAAATTGGGTTGTTTCCTGGAGAAAAGTGTTAATTTATCTGATTAAAAAACTAGACCAGTGAATCTGCTGAGCTTCAATGTGGGGTAAGAAAAAGACATGTAACTCACCTCCTTATGAGTCTGAGTTTGATACCCCTTGCTGGTGGGGAAGGACTTTACTTTTTGCAGGTGTCATAGCTGCTTTCAATTGTAAATTGTCAATATCAAGCTTAACTCTTTCTCCCTTTGTGGGAGTCATGGGACTAAAACTTAACCTGACTAGGAGTACAGACACTTACTCTTCACTGTCAGGCTTTCACTTGACCTTTAAGGACCTCCTGCATGTGTCTCAGCTGCTTTTATGCAGGTCTCTGTATAACTCTGAAAGCAAATGATAAAACTCTTTTCTAAGAAGCAGGTATTTGATATTCTGTTCTTTTATTGTGTACCAAGAAATGCCAACACATTTAAGAAATAGATCAAATATGGAAGGACCTTAAATATTTTTATTTTCTTCACTTCTGTTATCAATGTTGTGTGTTTGAAATCATTATATAGAGTATGATTTATTTTTAAATCATAACAATTCTGGTTAAGCTCGTATCTTGGGGGGGAAAATAAGCTCATGGACCGAGAGTGAGATATAATGTTACTGAAATTATTCTTTCTTCCTTTCTCATTTTATCTACCATTTCTTCTTGGGGAATCAAAAATTGGAAGAAGTGGGAGGGGTCTTAATCACACTATATCATTAATATGTGATGTGAGTTAGGGTTTCAGCCTTCCCATGTCATTGTACGAATTAAAGAAAATGGATGTAAGGAATTCCATACTCCTGTGTGTGGTCATTCCAAATTGATAAGAGGGCAAGAGCTCTCTTTAAGCTTTGTAAATGTAAAAATGTCACTTCATTTAGGAGTTTTTCTGTACACTTTGAGAAAGTGTTAAGTGTTGATAAATGAGTTAATGAGATGATAATCCATCTCAGTGGGCTTTGGTTTTGCAGTCTTACGTATGTAAGAATCTTTCCAAGGTTGCCAATGCCTAAAAAGGATTTTTGTACATTTACCCTGTAGGGTTCTTAGGATTTTCAGTTAAGTTTTATGTATTGAAAACATTGGCTGTAATATAAGATGGTGTATCTGAAATGACCGCTGTTTGATTTAACTGAAATAAAGCTTTTTGTAATGGCACTGTGTTGTTTTTAAAAATGTATATTTCAATTCTTGTTTTTATAATTTACTAAATATTTAAATGGTGTCTCAGTGGGTCCTATAATGACTGTGTTCTGTATCAAAGCAATAAGATAGATAGATAATACTTTATTAATCCCGTAGGGAAATTGATGAGAACTGATAAATTGATAAATCAATAAGAACATTGATTTATTTTAATTAATGGTAGCCTTGTTCCTTCTAAGTCTGTCCTGCATCTTAAACTAGTCCTAAACGCCCTGATGCTCCACCAGTATGTCCTAGCCATTCACTTTAGTCAGGTCACCAGTTTCTCATGTCCAAAGATGGGACAGTGTTGTGGTCATGAAGCTAATTTCTTTTTGAACACGTTTGTCTTAAGAAGAACCCCATTAGTGGGAACTGTCACCCCCGTTTTGCACTTCTGCATGTCTTCCGTGTCTAAAGCTCAGCAGTTGAAAGTGTAGGATCTCGGTAGAGTAAGAAAATGTGATGGTTCATGCACATTAGTCTAGTGCAGCGATGCCATGTTGAGTCATATACAATGGCAAGAGACTGCTAGACATTGCTGTAAGAAAGGGGAATATAACATAATAAAACAATAGTACAGTATTTTAGCAATTATCAAAAAAGCACTGTATCTCTATTATGGTAGAAAATAGTCAAAAAGCTTAGTTAATTGATCTAATAAAACCCAAAATTAAATGACACATTAAAAGCGGTTGTGAAAAGACCCGATTGAAAATGGGTTATAAAAATGCCAATAGTCAGAAAGTGGCAAATGGGTCTGGGCAGTGAGTTCCATAGACCTGCTGCAGCACATGAGAAGGCCTTATTACCTTATATTGAAATATTCATTATGTTTCAATATAAGGTGTTACATTGTAATTATATATTGTAATATAATTATATTCTATTACAATATAATAGAACGCCTTATATTGAAATATTCAGGCATGTCAAATCATGGCAGTCATGCTTTTCTTGGCAGACAGCTAGGTTCAGTGTAGAGAAGTGAGTTAGTGAGAGCTGTGGAATGCTTTTTAATTTAATTCCTTACAGTTATAAAGCACTTTTCTAGACACTCCACTCAAAGCGCTTTACTAGGTAATGGGAACTCCCCTTCACCACCACCCATGTGCAGCACACACTTGGTTGATGCGACGACAACCATAGTGTGCCATTGCGTTCACCACAAATCAGCTATCAGTGAGGAGGATAACAGATTGATGAAGCGAATTCATAGATGGGGATTATTAAGAGGCCATGATTGGTAAGGGCCAATGGGAAATTTGGCCAGGATGCCAGAGTAACAGTTTTACTCTTTTTGAGAAATGCCCTGGGATTATTAATGACAACAGAGGGTCAGGACCTCGGGTTTATGTCTTGCCCCAGGGGTGCCGAACCAGTCAATCGGAGTGCTTGCCAATCGATCGTGAGAATGTTTGGCAAAAAATAAATGGGCTATTTGACGATTTACTTATTTCAATAGCCTAAAAATTCATTCAGATCTGTGCATGTAATGTCATACATTTTACTGCCCTTGTGTGTGTTTAACCCTTGTCAATAGGGTTGTAAAAGTCTCTTCCCTGAGTGCTGGTCGACACTGGAAAAAAAGGCTACAGGATCTCCATAAATGAAGAGCGGTGTGTGCGATACCCAAGAACGTTCTCTTGGTTATTGCAGCAGGAACCCCACATTCGTTACAATGCATAGTGGAGCGAAACAGACTGCCGTGACAAATTCGCCTTCAGTTTGATAAGTTTGAATGCCTATTTGATAGTTGTAGTGTTTGAACGAAAATGATTAAGCAAAAAGACCGAAAACATACCGTTACCACAAGGAATGGGAGCATGATTATTTTTTTGTACTATCCCATTCAAATCTGCAATGCTGGCGTCTACGCGAAAAAGGAAAATATAGAACATTTCAAAACTGTACACAAAACCTATTGTAGCACCACACAGGGCGCTTTAGCCATGCGCACGCGAGACAGGCTGAGAACAGCGCCTGGGGGCGGGACTACGGGAATGTATATAGTGGGGCGGAGGATGAGGAACAGACTCTTCGCTTCGTGTGCGTGCGTGCAGCGCTGTAACTCTTCTCCCTGTGTGTGTACCTTTCCCTGGTTCGAATTAATGTGTTGTTCAACCTCATTCCTTGAGTCCCATGTCTGCTCCATTCCGTACCGAAACCCGCGATAGTTACAGTGATGTGGACTTTCTGGCTAAAAGTGAGCTACGGAAAAGAAAAGTGGAAATATTAAAATGTCTAATAGTAGCAGTCGGTTTTCACGAGGCCTAATACAAGAGAGAAAGCGGCAATCATCGCATCATTCCGTGTGAGCCACGTCCTGGCTAAACACA